TCCTAGAGTTGGAAGGAACTCCTGAAGGCCATCTCATCCAGTTAAAGGAGAACACCATTTGATCCCTCCCGACAGATGGCCATCCAGACACAGATATTATATATATAGGTATATCACAGACTCCTAGAGTTAAAAGGAACTCCTGAAGGCCATCTCATCCAGTCAAAGGAGAACACCATCTGATCCCTCCTGACAGATGGCCATTCAGACGCAGATATTATATATATATATATAGGTATATCACAGAATCCTAAAGTTGGAAGGAACTCCTGAAGGCCATCTCATCCAGTTAAAGGAGTACACAATCTGATCCCTCCCAACTGATGGCCATCCAGACATAGATATTAAAAGGTAACGTTTTTCCCCTGACATTAAGTCCAGTCGTGTCCAGAGTGATCTTAATGCAGCTGACAGCCAGCTGCGCTGCAACACCATCTGATCCCTCCCAACAAATGGCCACCCAGCCACCGATATAATAAATATTAATATTAGATAGAGAGATAGATAGATAGATAGATAGATAGATAGATATATGAGAGAGATAGGTATATCACAGAATCCTAGAGTTGGAAGGGAACCCCCAAAGTCCATCCAGTCCAACCCCTTTTTGCCATAAAGGAGAACACAATTTGATCTCTTCAGACAGATGACAAATGCAGGCATAGATAGATAAAGATACTAGATATAGATTTCTAGAGATGGGAGGGACCCATGAAGGCCATCTTATCCAGTTCCCATATGCCATAAAGGAGTATACCATCTGATCCCTCCCGACAAATGGCCACCCAGCCATCGATATAATAAATAATAATATAATATTAATATATATATATATATTATATACATACATATACATACATATACATATATATACATATATATACATATATATACATATATATATATATATAGAGAGAGAGAGAGAGAGAGAGAGATAGGTATATCACAGAACCCTAGAGTTGGAAGGGAACCCCCAAAGGCCATCCAGTCCAACCCCCTTTTGCTATAAAGGAGAACACCATTCGATCTCTCCAGATAGATGACAAATGCAGGCATAGATAGATAAAGATACTAGATATAGATTCCTAGAGATGGGAGGGACCCCTGAAGGCCATCTTATCCAGTTCCCATATGCCATAAAGGAGTATACCATCTGATCCCTCCCAACAAATGGCCACCCAGCCATAGCTATAAGATAGATAGATAGATAGATAGATAGATATAGATATAGGAGATAGGTATATCATAGTACCCTAGAGTTGGAAGGGGACCCCAAAGGCCATCCAGTCCAACCCACCATAAAGAAGGTCACAATCTAATCTCTCCTGAGAGATGGTCATCCAGCTGCACTGTTTCCAAGCCAGCCCCTCTCCCAACCTATATCCCCCCCTCCCCAATTGCCGGCAAATACCTGCAAGGTGCTCTGCAGGGCCTTTTTCTCCCAAGCGACCTCCGGGCTGGGCCTCTGCTCGATCGCCTGCCGCAGCTTCAGGGTCTGCCTTCGCTCTAGTTTGCAGTCCTCCTCGGCCTTCATCAGGCGGTGCTTTAGGCTCTCGATCTGAACGTGGCACACCGAACTCTCATGACCAATAGTCTTGGGAGACCCCTCTGGCACCCCCTCGTGATCCCCCCCCCCC